ACATATATGTATCTCGCTAACCGTTCTAGCAATTTGCACCAAGCTCGGTATGGTTATTGTGCTTGCCACATAAAAGCAAACCGTTGAAAATTGTTGAAATCGGACTAAAATTGAGGCCGCATTTCATATAACGGTAAATTTCGGTAAATATGCTTGAAATTTCAATATTTCGAAATTTAAGGACGCTAATTTACTTAAAATCTATACACCCCGGCTTATCATGTAGCGGTAGCTTTCGGAAAGGTGGAAAACACATATTTAATACTTGCGCCGGGTATTTAATGTTCGGCTCCGCCCGAACTTAGACTTTCTTACTTGTTTATCCATTCATTCGCTTCTTTGTAAGACGTTGTCACTTCGTTTCTTTTCCATCCGTGATGTGTTCTCCCTTCGCTCGTAGGTAATGCTGCCGGTAAGAGCTTAGGCCAATGACATGCCCACATTAAAATAATTCCTGCTTGCAGCGAAAGAGTATGCGATGCCCATGGTCTAGTTCGATTCCATTTTAATTCTGTGGTAATCGTGTTTTTTGCTGGGTACATGCATATGTGCATACGTATGTGGCTGTGTACTTAAAATATAGAAACACTTCATCAATATGTAAAATAAAAATAGTTCCCAAATAAATCAGCACTTTTATGGAACTCAATGCCGGTGGTATTTACGATATAAGATATATGTAAATGCACAAATATATGTATTGATAATATCAAAAAAAAAACTAAAATATATTTAATGTATTGTATGTACAAGCAAAACTAGGATTGTATGTGTGCATATACATACATACACACATAGAATATGTAAATACATACCTGTACTAGGATCGTACAATGTTAGAAGTTCATACATACAAATGTACATACATATTATGTATATGTATATCTATAAGATGTGATAATAATATTGTATATTTACCTAAATCAATACACATAATAAATTATACATACACACATGAATTTAATGCAAGGGAATAACTAATTACGATGTAGAAATAAATGGATCACCATACCAGCAACAATGCAATGTGTATTCTTCTTTAAACCAGTGACGCGGTGTGCACCCATTTAAAATCTAGAAAAGTTTATAGGGCAAGCTCTGCAATTCTCTTCCGAGTGAATTTTAATCAAATTCACTTTAAATCCGACATTCAGGGCCAATTTCAGATGAAAATTTGGGAAAATTTTCCAATACGGAACCAGGCTTTTGAAAAATTTTAAATTTAAAATTAAAAATGAGGGGGTGTAGAGCGGGTCTCCCTGATTCTAAATCCGAAAAGCGCCCTCTTCGGAGGCTTATAGTCTTTAAGTAATTTTCATTTAAAGGTGGAAAAAATGTCGAATTCAACCTCACTTTTTGCTTTGTAGACCAATTGAACTGAAATGTCGGTGCTGCCACACATAACAAAAAATGCAAAAAAAAACACCGTAGACGGGAAACAATAAAAACGCACATAATACGGTCTTTTTTATTATATATAATTTGTAATAAAAAATCGCGCGTAAAAGTGTATACCGCGATTTTGTGTCCTTATTTGTGGTGTATTTTCTTTTAAAACCTATGGTAGCACACATTTACTCTTACTGTCGGCCATTGTTGTTTCTATTTGTTTGCGAAATGTGGAAAAATTTGTAAACACAATTATAAACGCGTTTTACTTAATCAATTAATTAATTAATGTAAATGAAAGTATTACAAACGCATGCGCAAATTTGAAGGATAGCATATTACTGTAAATATAAGTGAAAAGTGGCGTTTTTAATTTAAAATTTGGTAGTCGGGATATTTTAATAACAAATTACTTAAATACTATTAGCAACAGCATTGTGAAAGTGATAAATTCAGTTGCAGAAGAGCTCCATTAATATCCCCACCGAGTTTTATAAAAAAATTCCATATTCTTTGAATGATACAGCTATTAGTTCCGTAATGGAAATCTCAGTCGAAAATTTAAACGACACTTAAGTTTAATTTTGACTTTTTATTTAAATGCCATTAAGCTTTCGTTGGGTTTCAGATCAACTTTATTTAAATATGCCAAACAACACTATTGCTTGTTCCTTGCAATTGCTGTTGCAATTGTTTTTAGGTTTTCTGGTCATCTGAGAACGAATTTTTGAAGTTAATCAACAATCTCTATTTAAATACCTCCTCCGAAATTGGGCTTCAGTGTTCTGTATTAAATTTTATTTAGACGTTTTTCCTAAAGCAAACTACAGTGTTCTAGAAAAAGAATTCGATAACAAATCTTCGGATACATTAACATCAATTTGATACTGTAAAGTTGATACGAACAAATATGAAAATAAATTCAAGTGCGTATTTATTGCAATAAATAAATATTTAAATAGATAAACTATTTTAACAGAGATAATGAACAGTTTCAGTTATTCTCCAAATAATGGAAAACCAACAAGGCTTTGGTGGTAAAAACAGGCTGTGTGGGGTCTTTATGATACATATTTAAATGAAATCAACCAACTCTCAAGCGATATTTCTGAAAAGTTTTTAATAATATAATATAACTAATAATATCTTGTTTATGCCTACGCCAGCGCTGGCCTACGCCAGACACGCCTGCCATTGATGGCACGCAACAAAATAAGTTGGGCACGGTATTAATTGAGCACTCAATTCCTTTTATTTACTACCCATTCTACACAATTTTTTTTTTCGTTTAATTTCGACATTAAAGCAAGATCAACTCACACCCAAGAAAACAGGTCAGAAGAGCCAAAAATTCCTTGTGTTTACTACCCAATCGAAGCAATTTCTCGTTTTCGTTTAAATTGGAGATCAAAGCAAGGTCTACTCCCAACCAAGAAAGCAGGTAAGAAGAGCCGAAAATATAGACAGAAAACAACAAAATCCACATAAAACATTCGATTATTGAGTTCTATTCATCATTAATCAATAAGCTTTGTGCGCAAAGCATAGCTTCGCCTCCTTTGGTGATATTATGGGGGAAGTTCTCAAAAATATTGAACCCCATATATTCGCAGGCATTAAATAAACGAAGGTTTGAGGCTTATGCAGCATTTTTACTGCATTTGAAATGCAACATTTAGCACTTTCGAGCACATATTTTCGAAGAGCGTTCATGCTATCGCACTTAGCAAATGTACATTTACGCGAGTTCGAAATCGTATGGTTTTGACAAACAGCCGTGTTCCTGTCGCATATTCAGATCCATATCTATCACGATCAATTCGCACGGACAAGATAATGTGCAAATACCCCTATTGAAAAGGAAAAAAAGAAATTTTAAACAAACAAGTAAGAAAGTCTAAGTTCGGGCGGAGCCGAACATTAAATACCCGGCGCAATTATTAAATATATGTTTTCCACCTTTCCGAAAACTACCGCTACACGATAAGCCGGGGTGTATAAATTTTAAGTAAATTAGCGTCCTTAAATTTCGAAATATTGAAGTTTCAAGCATTACTGAAATATACCGTTATATGAAAAGCGGTCGTAATTTAGTCCGATTTCAATAATTTTCAGCGCTTTGCTTTTATGTGGCAAGCACAATAACCATACCGAGTTTGGTTCAAATTGCTAGAACGGTTAGCGAGATACATATATGTGATCATAAGTGGGCGGTGCCACGCCCATTTTCCAAAATTGTATCATAAGCGTATTTCTTGGTAAAAAATTGT